CATCAGGATCCCTGAGCTCAGGATTGTGGGCTTTAAGTCGAGGGGAGTTGACCCAGCAAACTCAGCCAAGGCTGATGGATGGCCCGGCCTAAGCCCCCAAACCGTTCTTTTGCCCTAAGCCCTCAACCCTTCAAAAACACCTTGCTGTGTACGCGGGTGCTAGGCGGGTGGCAAAGAAGAACAGCAAAAAGAAGTCACCAGTATCTTCCGTAGACCTTTTCTTGTCAAAGCTGTGGGTTTTGAGGGCTTCAAAAGGCTCCTGGAAAGCCCGGGCTCTGAAGAAGAGTTCAACCCCGAGAGCCTTCCTGAGCGCCTTCTAAAACGTGGCCCCAATTCTAGGGTTTAGGGTTTAGGGTTGAGGGTTTAGGGTTTAGGGCTTGGGGTTTAGGGTTTAGGGTGTAGTGGCCACCTGATTGTCATGTGGTCTTTCTTTTTTTTTGAAGGGGGCATGGGAAACCAAACAGGCCTTATCAATGAATCTAGGTCCGCGAACCCTGAGGCCTACAGAAAAAAGAGCTCAGCTGCCCACAAGACCCCAAACCCCAAACCCAAAAACCAAAAACCCTAAACCCTAAACCCTAAACCCTAAACCCTAAACCCTAAACCCTAAACCCTAAACCCTAAACCCTAAACCCTAAACCCTAAACCCTAAACCCTAAACCCTAAACCCTAAACCCTAAACCCTAAACCCTAACCCCTCAACCCTAAACCCTAAACCCTAAACCCTAAACCCTAAACCCTAAACCCTAAACCCTAAACCCTAAACCCTAAACCCTAAACCCTAAACCCTAAACCCTAAACCCTAAACCCTAAACCCTAAACCCTAAACCCTAAGTGAGGCAGAGCGACGCCGCGAAATCCTTGCACGGCCAGCGCCGAAGGGCGCCACAGCCGTCTTCATTTGACAGGAGACCCCGTCGCACCTCTGCGGACTGGATCCCTATCCTAAACCCACTAAACCCTAAACGCTAAACGCTAAACCCTAAACCCTAAACCCTAAACCCTAGGCCCTAAACCCTAAACGCTAAACGCTAAACGCTAAACGCTAAACCCTAAACCCTAAACCCTAAACCCTAAACCCTAAACCCTAAACCCTAAACCAAAAAAACCCTAAACCAAAAAAACCCTAAACCCTAAACCCTAAACCCTAAACCCTAAACCCTAAACCCTAAACCCTAAACCCTAAACCCTAAACCCTAAACCCTAAACCCTAAACCCTAAACCCTAAACCCTAACCATAAACCCTAAACCCTAAACCCTAAACCCTAAACCCTAAACCCTAAACCCTAAACCCTAAACCCTAAACCCTAAACCCTAAACCCTAAACCCTAAACCCTAAACCCTAAACCTTACAAGCCTTAGACCCTACAAGACCTCCCCTGGCGTATGGCCCTCACATAGTTCTAAGCATTCTTCCGAGGAGGGTAACTCAGGTTGGGAACTTGAGATAGATTCTCCTAGAATTGGGGCTGGATCTTAAGATAGATTTTATCCAAGGGTGGGGGGTGCCATTCGCCGAAATAGGCACGATGTCTCTAGCTGCGGGGGGGGGGGGGGGGGGGCTGGGGTCGGGGGGCGGATCTCGGGAGCCTGTTTCGCAGTTGCTGTTAGTGTGCCCAGGGTCCCGACGCGTCGTCCAAAGACATTTGGTCTGTGAGCGGCGAGAACCTTTACGAGTCCGGGCAGGTTGGGGAAAAAGGAGCTCCGTGAAGTTGTGTTGTGAAGACCCTGGTGGGATGAGGCCGGGTATAACGGGGACTTGCAGCATACAGCACGAGTCATGGAGTGTGATGTGCGCAGGGTCGCCATGTCCAGACCATGTGGTTCTCCTCCTGCTCCCCAATCCTCCAGTGGTTCACCCTGAACCACTCCTCCTCAGCTAGACTAGCTGGACTTCCAGACTCAATATCCAACCTGCTAGGTAGTGCATGAGCCCCGTACCAGTACTAGTAGCAGGGATGACACGAAAGCCGTGCACGGACTGGCCCCTGAGTCCCTACATGTTTCTGACGCTTCAAAGTTCAACAATGGATGGGGTTATTGCAGATGATTGCCAGTCTTGGCTGGCGTGTTCACTCTTGGAAACCTCATGGTATTCAGACCCCAAATAGAACAGAAGCCCTTTAAGGGGACCCACTAAAAAGGGCACCCCTTGTTTCGGTATGAAGTTGTGCAGGCGGATGAAGGTGGCCCTGTCGCTCCAAGGACTATGGAAGCAACCGGTTCCTCATGCGGAGCCACCACGCACACATTTGACCAGTGACCCCCAAATTTCTCAGCTTGTGTGGAGAAGTAGGATCCGCAGCCGAGTGTTGGGAGACTTGTTCCGGGGCATTTGTTGCCCGCCGGCTGGGATGAGCAAAGTTGTCGTTCCAAATTCGGATGTCCGGCTCTGCTGAGGCATTGCCGGGCCGTGAAGAACACAAGTGTTGCCTGAGCCAGCATGCTTGAAGTCTTGTGGCTTGTGCATTGCTCGCCCTGACGTTGCCACGTTGAAGCCCCTGCCGTGCTTGGTTTGGACCGGCTGCATCGGACTGACGACATAAAGGGCGTAAAGATCTTGAATCGTTTCTGGGCGTTTCCAGTCAAGGCGCCGGAACGACAGCAAAGTTGATGATGTTCAAGGTCACAGGCGAGGATGCAGAGCAGAGTCGTTCCAAATTCAGATGTCCAAGCACTTGGACCATGAAGAAGATCTGCCTGAGCCTTGCGTCAGTTCACTGCCTGCCCAGCTGCTTTCGGAAGTTGGGCGGCTTCTGCACAGAATCCTAGCCTGGTGCATGTTGCGGCGAGGTGGCAAAGCTAGTCGTCACGTGGGCTGGCTGGTCTATTCATGTGACCGATGCCCTGTGCTGCCATGTGTTTAGTAGAGCAAACCCAGGGATGGGCGTATACATGAACTTGCTTTTTATGGTTCTATGTAAGGGAAGACTGCCCCTCATTCTGCACCGATGCCGCTGTCTTCGGCAGCTTCGCGAGCTTACTGTGCAGGACCTTGGCAAATACCTGCGAATCTAAACCCCCACACCGGATGACCTTCAACACCACTGTTCACCGCAACACGAAATTGGGGTTACTGTAGGACTTAGGGAAAATTGTGCATTATCAAACGGCCAGTCCACACTACCGGCTTGACTGATCTCGCGCATCTCCGGCGGCCATGGCAGATGCACCCATGTGCCCGGATTGATGTTCACTTCGGGGTGGGTGGCGGTGGGGGGTTCTGTTTTGGTGGAAGGGCTGGGGGTTGGGCAAATTAGGAGCTTCCTGCAGAAGGGATTCGGTCATACAATGTTATACCAAATCATAGGCGATGCGTATTACAAACTTCCTTATACCCGCAAGTTCGCCTAGTTCCTCCTAGAAAGGCACTTAGCGCATATGTTCTCTGCGCCCCAAAAAGTTTTAGCACCCCCCAAACCGGACCTTGAACTTACAGAAGTTACAGTTGCATCGAGTTAGGGGCTTCCTGTTTTTTGTTGCGAGGGGGCCTTAAGGGGAGGGATAGCTGAAGTGAGCCCCCGCACCCAACTCCTTGAAGCCCACGGCACATGTGCCCAGGCCTGTGAGGCTCACGATGAGGCTTTAGGTAACCCACCGAGAACCCCCCAAAAAGGACATAAAGAACCTCAAGATCGAGATAAGAACCCTCTAAACCCTAAACCCTAAGCCCCTCAAAACCCCAAACGCCCAGAGAGCAAGCCCAAACCGCAGAGCGGAGACTGAGATAGCTCGCGAGAGAACCCTAAACCCTAAACACTCTAAACCCTCTAAACCCTCTAAACCCTCTAAACCCTCTAAACCCTCTAAACCCTCTAAACCCTCTAAACCCTCTAAACCCTCTAAACCCTCTAAACCCTCTGAACCCTCTAAACCCTCTAAACCCTCTAAACCCTAAACCCTAAAGCCAGGCTGTCAGCTGCCCGACTGCTGGAGCTGCCGGGCTGCTGCTTTCCTTCCTAGGGTTTGGGGGTTCTGGGCTTTCGGGGTTTTGGGCTTTTTTTTTTTTTTTTATAATATATATATATATATATATATATATTTGTTTTTTTGTTTTTTAAAGGGTTGTGTAGGGGTTTGGGGCTGCTGCTTTCCTTCATTCCTGGGGTTTAGGGTTTAAAGGTTAGGGTTAGGGGTTCTTGGTTTTTGGGGGGTTTGTTTGTTGTTTTTGGGGGTTGTGGAGGGGTTTAGGCTGCTGCTTTTCTTCCTTCCTCATGGGCTCAGGGTGTAGGGGTTCAGGGTGTAGGGGTTTAGGGTTTAGGGGGTTAGGGGTTTAAGGCTTAAAGGGGTTGCTTCTGGGCTCAAGGTGGGGTTTATTGAGTTTACAGGGTTTGTTGGGGTTTATCCGGTTTAGAGGGTTTGCAGGGTGTTTTGGGGTTCAGCTGCGAAATCTTGGGTCTCAGTGCAAAGAGCTGGCCCGATCGTCCCTGGTCCAGTGTGCAAAAAGGGTTTAGGGTTCAAGGAGGACAACGAGTTGGCAGGTTTCCTCTTCCTTAGACCGGCAGTCTTCGGAGGGTTCATGGCTGGGGCTGGGCAGTTTTGACTGACTGGGTGGTAGTCGCCAGCAAGAATTCGGGTCCCATTTGGGGGCTTACGAAAATAAGGGACCCCGAACCCTAACATAGTTCCCACAGTAGTAGTGGGATTCCCTTATGATAAGGACCCCAATAATTAAGGCACCCCTACTCTCGCAAACCCCCATTTGATGCCCCCTCAAAAAAGTGGACTTCTTTTGAGGGCTGAAGGTCATGGGTCTTCGCCGTGGCTGTGCCAGATGTGCCAGATGCGCCAAATGCGCCGATGGCCGATCAACTTCTGCATATTGCTTTTGATAAAGAGGTTTAGGCTGCGGCCGCGGGCAGAATCGCGCCACACACTCTGTCATTGTGTTGCTGCTTGTGTTAGACCACGCTTGTGGGAGACATGGCGACAAGCCATGCAGACAGTGCCGCCATGCTCCTGATTCTTGGAGTGCAAATCGCGTGGGTAAGCTTGGCACTGCCGTATAATCTCATGCGTCTTCGCCAGTCCTCCTCTTGTCCTCGAGGCTTTGGTCCGACAAGTGTGGCTGGACCATTCATCTTCAGTGCTGTTCTGCTTAGAGGTTTAGGGCTTCGGGACTCGCTGTTCCGCCCTAAGCGCCCTAAACCCTAATCACTTGAGCGGCCGCTAGACGAGTGCCACCGTTTTCACCCCCCTCAACAGGAGCCCCTAGCCGAGCGCGTCGGCCGCCTGGAGCACACCACCCAGGCGGAAGGATTGAGCATTTGAAGAGTTAAGAGTGTTTGCCTTCAGCAGGGCTTAGGTGGCAGTGGTGAACTACTCAGCAGCCACTGAACTGGGAATGCCTGCTGGAGTCCACCGCAGTCCACCCTGTCAGAGTCCCCTGTCAAGATGGCGATACATCATCAGCCACAACCAAGGTCCGTGTCTGACATTTCCAGGTGGTGGGGGGTAGAGAGAGGTGTGCTTCTTCCGGCTGCTTGCATTGGCGCATAGCAACAATCATCGATAAACCCCAAAGAGCCCTGCACCACCACACCCGCACATCACATGCCACCATCTGAACAGCACCCATCCCGCCATTACACGCCCCCCCCCCCCCCCCCCCCAATTATGCCAACGAGCTTGATGGGCGCTTCCCGCCCGGCAGCCGAGAACCGGCAACGTTCGGAGGCAGGGTCCCCGAAGGTTTGGGATGTTGAAAGGGGGGTTGGCGGTTGGCTGATCCTAAGCTCGAAATCCTAAACCCTGAACCCTGAACCGTAGGGTTTAGGGTCTCGGTCTGGGGCGCAAGTCGTAAAGCTTTGGATTTCTCGGTGTCGCAACCCGAAGCCACTCCATCTGCGCGTCGAGTGGCTTTGAACGACTAAGGTCCGGTTATACCGGTTCTCGGCGGTTATAG